AACCCAGGCCTGTGCCTGACCAGGAATCAAACGGTGACTTCCTGGTTCATAGTTCGATGCCCAACCACTGAGCCACGCCAGCCGCACCACTCAAACTTCTTGAAAGCAAAGTTCCCATTCACCGTGTTTTATTCATTCAGCTGCTATTCACTTATCTTATCACTTTCATCTGGCTTTAGATGCTGATTAGAATTTAGGACTGGGGGGTCATGATGTCTGCAGCTTATGTGATTCAGCTAAAAACAAGTATGACTAGGTGGATGGACAAAGCGACTGTGGCCCAATGTCAACAATGGTTGAATCGAGGTGAAGGGTGTACACATTATTGCATTACTCACTCAACTCATCTGTATGTTTAAAATGTTCATAATAGGATGTTGAGGGTGGGGGGGGGATGATCTAGTTCTAGCTCCTCCTCTGACTTTGCCAGAACTGGTCTCCCAGGGCAGGAGGTGGGGAATGAAGCAAGAAGGGGTTGACCTGCTCTTTGTCAAACCAAGGGTCACAAATGTCTTTCCTTGTCTGACTTGACCTCAATGGGCACTGACATACTGGTCACTTCCTTCTTCTTGAATCCATGTTTTATTTTCCTCCTACCTTTTTTAAAAAATGTTTTTTCATTGACTTCAGAGAGGAAGGGAGAGGGGGAGAGAGAGAAACATCAATGATGAGAGAGAATCATTGATCAGCTGCCTCCTGCACACTGGGGATCAAGCCTGCAATCTGGGCATGTGCCATGACAGGGAATCCAACCCTGACCTCCTGGTTCATAGGTTGACACTCAACCACTGAGCCACGCCGGCTGGGCCCTCCTGCTTTTTGGTTTACTTTCTGTTATCTTGAAACACGTCTCCCCTGCTCTCTGGTCACCCCCCATATCGGTGCTCTAGTTGAACCCATATACCCTCCCTGGGTTAATCTTCACTTCCTTCTGTGGCCTTAGCACCACACACACACACACACACACACACCTACCTCCTGGAACGCAAATCCTAACATCCAGCTACCAACTCGACTCGAATGACTTGAGTTTATAACGTCAGCATGTCCAAAGCTGGGCTCAACACTGCTTGTAACATCTTTATTTCCAGCCACACTGAATAGCACCACCATCCATCCGGCTGCAGTCACAGGTAACCCGAGTATCATCCTTATCTTCTCTCAGCCCCTTCCTCTCACCTCTTTCCAACTTAGTCATCAGGTCCTGGCTTCTGCCTCCTCAAGAGCCCTCAAATCCTCTGTCCCTCCCCTATACCAGGCCATCACATATCCTCTTCCCT